AATTTTGTGTTTGTGGGTTTTTATTTTTTATTTTTTTGTACACTTTAAAGATTTCACTCTACTTTCTTCTTGCACGTGGTTTTGAAGGAGAAGTCAAATATCATTCTTGTTTTTGTTTTTCTATAAGCAAGTTTGTTTTCTTTCTCTATGTCTCTTTAGGGGTTTTTTTCTTTATCTTTGATTTTCTGCAGTTTAAAGATGATATCCTTTTTTGGAATTTTTCTAGCTGGTGTTCTCTGAGCTGCTTAGATCTATGATTTGGTATCTGACATTAAAGTGGAGAAATTCTCAGTCATTATTCTTTAAGATATTTCTTCTGTTCCTTTTCTTCTTCTACTTCTGGTATTACCATTACATGTATGTCACACATTTGTAGTTTCCGACAGTCCTTGGATATTCTGTTCTATTTTTTGTTTTTGTTTTTGTTTTAGTTTATTTTTTTCCTATTTGCTTTTCAGTTTTCAAGGATTTTATTGATGTATTCTCTAGCTCAGAGATTCTTTCCTGTCATGTCCAGTCTACTAATAAACCCATCAAAGGCATTCTTCATATCTGTAACAGTGTTTTTAATCTCTAGCATTTCTTTTTGGTTCTTTTGTAGGCGCTCCATTACTCTGCTCATATTGCCCATCTGTCTTGCATGGTGTCTACTTTATATATTAGAGCTCTTAGCATATTAATCAGAGTTGTTTTAAATTCCCAGTATGCTGATTCCAACATCCTTGCCATATCTGGTTCTGATGCTTACTCTGCCTTGTCAAATTTTGTTTTTCTGCTTTTTGATATGCCTTTCAATTTTTCTCAATAAACATGATGGACTAGGTAAAAGGAACTGTGATAAATAGGCCTTTAGTAATATAGTAGTGAGGTATGGGGGTAGGGGAAGCTTTCTAGAGTCCTATGATTATGTCTCAGTCATTTAGTGAACCTGTACCTCTAGACCATGAACTCTAGACCATGAACACGAGTTTCTTAGTTTTTTTCTCCCCCCTTATGTGCGACAAGATGGCTGCAGTGGGCTATTGTTGGGTATTTCTCTTCCCCAGGGCACTTAGACTCTGATAATACCCCAGTAGTTTAGGCTGTCATTAACCAGTCTGCCCTGAGGACAAACCTTTCTTAGAAAAACAGTGCTCTGGAGTATTTTGAAATGGTTTCTCCTTTCCATTGCCAGAAGCAGGGGGTAATTTTCTCTAGTATTTTCTGTGGGAATCTAGTCATGCTCCTGGAGGTAAATCTCAAAATAATGCAGAGCCCCTCCTTTATTTGCCTGCAGTTCTTAACTCTCAAATACATCCACACTGAGCATCCAATAATTCATCCATTACAATTGAGGCTTCCCTACCCTGGCACTGGTTCCTGGGGTGGCTTTCACTCCTGACTCTTTACTCTGTAAGTTAAGACTCCCTGTATTTGCCTGACTGTCTCTCCAATTTGGGGACAGCAGTTTGTCACCCCTTTATTAAGAATCAAAGAAGAGTTGTTGATTTTTCAGTCTGTTCAGCTTTTTGTTAGGAGTAGTGATTTCCAAAGCTCCTTACATGCAGAACCTGAAACCAGAAGTCCTATACTTTTTATTTTACTAAATTGGGAACCTACTAAATTGATAATTTTGTAACTGGAATTTTTTCAGTTATATTATAAACTTGTTCCTTATTGGTAAATACTCTTTGATGGAATTTTTATTGACGACAGTATCTTTTTCATAGTGCATATTTTAATCTAGTCCTTTATTGGTTAGACTGCTTCCAATTTCCTGCATTATAAATAGTACTTGTGTGAACGTTCATGGAAATAAATCTTTTTGTATGGTCATGATTATGTCCTCGGGGTAAATAAAATAGCTCTTCCTAACCTAATGCCACAGAAGAATTTAGCAGATGCCGTGGTAGAGTAACTTCCACCTCCTTCTAAGGTGATTACATAAAATCAATTTCCTTGTTCTTTCATTAATTCACAAAATGATTGAGCCAGTTCTACACAATCTTCCTTCTACTGTTTTGGTGTGTGTATGTGCGCACCTGCCCGCAGGCAGGGTGTGTATATGAGGGGGAGAGAGAAAGAGAGAGAGAGAAAATGAAACTGCTAATGAAAGTATTTTAAATTGTTAGAGAAATAAGGTCTATTTTTTCTTTTTTTAATTTAAATTCAATTACCCAACACATACTACATCATTAGTTTCAGATGTAGTGTTTGCATATAACACCCAGTACTCATCACATCACATGCCCTCCTTAATGCCCATCACCCAGTTACTCCATCCCCCCAACCCCTTCCCTTCTGTAACCCTCAGTTTGTTTCCCAGAGTTAAGAGTCTCTCATGGTTTGTCAATAAAGGCTATTTTTCATTTCAAGGAAGACTAGTACTTGGAAGAACCAGGAAATCCCAGGTATTTTTTTTGCTTTTATTCTGCAACTTTCATAGGACAGGAAAAAAAAAAAAAAAGGCACTGTCCTTAGTTGTGGCATGGGTATAGCTCCTCTATAGAGGGCATCTTTTTTGTTATTCTGCTTTACTGAAAGAATTACCTCTATGAAGCTGGTGACTTCACTTTTTTTTTTTTGGTTGAAATACACAGCTGCTTCCATCTATATTGCCTTTGACCTTTTTTATCTGTCCGTGTCACAGATGGCCACACACCACTAGGAACACACTTATACTTGAACTACTTGGATTTTTTGCTAGCTGCAGTGAAGGGAAGGCACACCATAAAAAACCATGGGCCATCTCAGTGAAAGAGTATTAGAAAAGACTTACTATAGGATTTAGGCTTGTTGTTAAGTGATTTGAGGGAGGTTTCAAGAAAGCCATTTGCAATGACAGGGATGGAACTGGAGAGTGTTATGCTGAGCGAAATAAGTCAATCAGAGAAAGACATGTATCATATGACCTCACTGATATGAGGAATTCTTAATCTCAGGAAACAAACTGAGGGTTGCTGGAGTGGTGGGGGGTGGGAGGGATAGGGCGGCTGGGTGATAGACATTGGGGAGAGTATGTGCTATGGTGAGCGCAGTGAACTGTGCAAGACTGTTGAATCACAGATCTGTACCTCTGAAACAAATAATACATTTTTTAAGAAAAAAAAAGAAGAAGATAACAGGAGGGGAAGAATGAAGGGGGGGGAATCAGAGGGGGAGATGAACCATGAGAGACGATGGACTCTGAAAAACAAACTAAGGGTTCTAAAGGGGGGGTGGTGGGAGGATGGGTTGGCCTGGTGACGGGTATTAAGGAGGGCACGTTCTGCATGGAGCACTGTGTGTTATACGCAGATAATGAATCATGGAACACTACATCAAAAACTAATGATGTAATGTATTGTGATTAACATAACATAATAATAAAAATAAATAAATAAAGATGAATCTGAAAAAAAAAAAGAAAGCGGGGCTTTGCAATAGTTTGCTTGCTGTCAAAAAGCAGTTGTAATTTTCTGATTTGATATATTAATGACTTTTATCCAAAATTAGGTGACCAACTATCCCAGTATGCCTAAGATTGAGGGGCTTCTTGGGACACAATATGTTCAGTGGCCAAACCAGGAAAATCCAAGGCAAACTGGGAGGAGTAGGTTACCCTATCTAGAGGGCAAGCAAAATGAAAAGAGGATAAGGCCGAAATTGGTAAAGAAGGAATAGCTACTGACAGGAGCTAGGATTTGGGATGTTTGGTCATTTTTGTGATTTTGGCAATGTTCATGTTTTTGCTTGGATTCAGACATGACTACAAAGTGATCTCTCATCTCTGACTTGATCCATCATGGTGACAGGGTGGCCATGTCTGATGTTGCTTTCACTAGGAGAACATCGGGCCAGCTCCCAGCAACACCAAGGTTTTTACACAGGGTTAGGGCAGTTTCTAGCTGTCAGGGGCTGTTTTCCTTTTTTCCAGTTCTCTTCTTTATGGATTTGAGGGATACTTTTGGAATTGACCTAAGAGTTTACACATGTGATCTAGTTTCTAGAGACTTGGTTTTAGCCACACTGGTCTGTACCCTAATGAGATGCTTTAAGCTTTGAAACATTGAGTAATAAAACAGTTATATCCTTCACCCTTAACACAACTTTTTTTCTTCAATAGAGAAAAATGTTCTAACGCTTGAGACCAAACGCTAAATTACTAAATGTTAAAACAAGAAGAAATCAAATATTCTTTCCCCTTGAGATTCCAAACTCATATCAGCATATTTCACTGTTCTTAGTAATACTGCTGTAAAGAAACCTAGCTTACTTGATATAGAACAAACGTACTTTTCACAGAACATATAAACATTTGCATGAACATTAATATTTCACTATTAAACCAGTGTTGTATGGAAATACTAGTCTATTTAGTGATGTTTCCCAGTTGTGGTTTTTTTTAAAAAAATTAGAAATATATTTAAGGAGTAAACAATTATTCTGATTTAAAATAAAATAAATTTTCCATGGGGCACCTGGGTGGCTCAGTCAGTTGAGTGTCTGCCTTCGGCTCAGGTGATGATCCCAGGGTCCTGGGGTCAAGCCCCCCATCAGGCTCCCTGCTCAGCGGGAAGCCTGCTGTACCTTCTGCCTGCCCCCCTGCTTGTGTTCCCTCTCTTACAGTCTCTCTCTCTCTCTGTCAAATAATAAATAAATACAAATCTTAAAAATAAATAAATAAAATAAATTTTTTTATTTACAGTAATTGAAAAGATAGTTTCATCTTTTTCAGGTTTGCTAATTTAATATTAAGAAAAAGTATTAAATGGTGGTTAGATTTTTTGGGGGGAGAAAACCTTAAACTAATAAATGAACATATATAGTTGATGTAGTTTAGTCACTAAGGTTATAATACTAGTTAAATTGTGAAACATTATTTTAATTATTAACATTCAGCTATCTTAAACTATTCTGTTCTCCTGTATATTAATTAAATTAATTATTTAGCAATTAATCTTTATAACAATGGTGGAAATAATATAACCTTAGCTATGTTATAATCATTATATAGTTCACATTCATGAATTTGTCTCTAGATTCTGAAGACTACCTTGAGGTCAATATTCCAACAGACCTAGGAGTGGAACATTCTGGGGAAATAAGTAAGAGAAAGGAAATTGAAGAATTATCAAAAGCTTCAAGAGACACCATACCCCTGGCAATGGTGCTTCCTACTGAAATTCCATGTGAGGTGAGTAAGATACCTTGTTATTTAAGTGGCTGGCTCTATTGTTTTCATAAATATTGCATTTCACTAGAATGTAAGCTCTAACATAGCTGGGCACTTCTGTTTACTTTGTTCATGGCTGTGTCCTCAGAATCCAGAACAATATCTGGCAATTAGTAGACATTTGATAAATGTTTGTTGATAATTTAATATTGAAGAATATATGAAAGCCTAATTTTATCAAGTGGTATTTGACATGTTGCCAAAAGATATATAATTGCTATATATACCAAGCCACTTAAAATAAAAGTTGGATTCATATTAACCAGATCAAGGATTTTATTTTTATAAATGGAAATACATTCTTGAATAGGATTTGAGAATACTTATATTCTAGGATCACCGATTTTTCAATTCTGAATCGTGTATTAAAGGCCTACACTATTAAGTGGAAATATAAGAGCTAGACGAGGTGGTCCTTTCAGGAATAAAAGGATGGAGGGGATGTAGCAGGGGATGGAGTGTGGATTTCTGAGAAGGTGACTATATGAGTACATGTCTTCATTGGAATGAACTACTGAAATAAACATACTGGTAGAGCTTGACCCGAAACTGGGTCTACATAATCTCCAGACAATAGAAAGATGCTGGTCCTCAGTGTCCTTGGTGTCCTTCAGTGGAACAAGCCAAAGATACAGGAGAACAGGAGAGCCTTGGAAGTTGCATGGAAGGGTCCTCTGGGAGAAGCCAGTGGATTTGTGCCACTGGGTGACAGGGGCTGCATTTGTCTCTTTGCTAATAGCTGTCTTTGGGAAGAGAATCTCCTGTTCTTGCTGGTACTAGCAGTCCTGTGCAGTTGGGCAAAATGTAATTCCTTCATCCCCAGACCCCATCCCTAAGCAGAAGACTCACTGTTTTAAGCTATTATGCTATCAATTCCAGAGAGACAAGAACTTCTTTGACACTGCCTTAGAGACTCCCAGAAACTAAACTATTCCGGATTCAGAGAACCGACACAGGTGACCAGGCAAAGAAAAATTACAACTCTCTTAAAGGCCTCAGGAGCGTGAGGGAGGGCAGGCTAAACAATCAGAACTGGTAGATCCTATTGAGTCAGAAACAATGGAAGAGACAGAAATAAATAGAAAAAAAACTGTAATCAACAGGAAATGAGAATTATTCTCAAGTAGGTAAAATCAACACAAAAAAGAAAAAAAAAAACCCTCTGGAACTAAACATTACTCCCCAAGAACTCTGCAATGAGTCTAAATAGCTGCTCTGAACAAAACCTACAACAGTAAATTTTGAAGAATATAAAACCTTCCCCCACTATTAAATTTGCAGAGAAATTGAAATGTAAAAATTAACCCCCACTACCCTCCAAGCTGACTCAGATGGTTGGGTAGGATCAGGATTCTTTTAATAGCAGAATCATGGGCTATCTTTTACTGACGTGGATACAATTCTTTCAGACCCTTGGAAGTGAAATTATTTCAATTTCACGTCTCTCTTTGGTATCCCACTTTTTAAGGAATCCTAAGAGTTGGAAGGTCATACGAGATTATTTTAGTGCCAGCCACATGCACTAAAAAATTAAAAATAAACCGATCCCCAGACGAAAGATAGTTATCCCAGCCAAAATCTTGTGTTCTCAGAACCTAGATCTTAGTGCAATCTGAGTCCATGTAACAATGGCCAAGTACCAAAGGAAAGATCATTTGTATCCAAATGAGTGAAAATCGTGTTTCAGATTTGCCAGGATAACTTTCAGTCTACGCCAGTTGTCTGAAAGCACAACCTCAAGTTTACTCATTTCTGAGACATCTTCCAATTAGTGGGTAAGTAGAGACCGCTGAAGAACAGGGCCTCCCCTCCCACTAAGTGAGACTTGAGACTTCGCCACCGTCTTACAAAATCTAGACATTTAGCATACTAACATTGCTAGTCACCAGGTCTTAGTTGACACATGCCTCTTTCACACCCAGGACCTTCGAAATCTAGTGAGTTCCCTTACAGTTTTGTGTTTCCAGCACGCCAGCGCTGAGCTGGGTAGGAGTTTTGTATAGTGGCATGACCTTCATTCTCTCTGATTAAGGGGGAGTTAAGGTCTCTCCTGCTGCAGCCTCTTGCTGTGAAATTGCTTGGGTCTGGACCTGCTTCTTAGAGAAGTTCCCTCCCTGTTCCCTTATCTGTTCTGGAGAATCAACATTACCTGGGGCAGCAGGTGATGTTGCTACTGCTTTTGACCCGGGAGCATGGAAGTATTGATCTTTCTGCCTATTCATCTTTCCCAGCGTTGTTCCTTCCCTTGGATTTTGGATTTCATAGGCCTTGAAAATCTTGTGCCACTTTAAATACAGCAGGATATATATTTTCTTCAACATTGTTTCTCATGTGCTAGTGAAGATATTCCTCCAATGTCCTTTTTATGTAGGTTATTCCCTGTCTTTTTGAAAAATACCTGGATAAGTCTTAACAGCTTAAATCTGCTACTGAATTTGGCCTCTTTTACCTTTTCTAGGATTAGCATTCTTTGCTATATTTTAAAAGTGTTTTTAATTTTTTTTATTATGAGCCAACACATTTGTTTTTCTAGCATATTCCTCTTGATTTTTTCTTACATGGTAATTGATCGTGAGAGGTAGGAAGTCAATAAATTCTAGGTCTACCAAACATATTCATTGTATAAATGAGTCTTATCCAACTTTATGTCCCTAATGAGAAATCCACCTTGGAGGTATTCTTCCACTGGAAGACATCTAAACCAGAACTGGTCCTGCTCTATTTACCAGCTTTTCTTTCCTGTGCTGTGTATTACTACAAAGTCCTAACTTCATTAATTCCTCAGGCAAATTCCCTCAGAGCGGTAGTTCTCATCTGGGAGTGATTTTGCCCCCCTTCCCCCAGAAGGTTTTTGGCAAAGCCTCCAGACAGTTTTGGTTGTCATAACTGGGGGATTGCTACTGGCATCTAGTGGGTAGAAGTTACAGATACTGTTAAACGTCCTATAATACTAGGGTAGTCCCCACAACTATGACTTCTTCCAAAAAATGTCAGTAGTACCAAGGTTAAGTCGTGTCTCCAAGGATAGGAGATATATTTATGGCCCTCACAGTAATAAGTTACCTTCAACTCACCTAATAATGGCATCAAGAATTCAGCACCCCCCTTCAGAGGCTTCTCTGCAATCCTCCTGGTTGTTCTAGAATCACTTGTTAGGACTGCACAATCTGTAAGCAGTGAATCTAGTCGCTCCTTTTTATGGATTTTACCTGGAGCTTTAAGAGGGAACCTCTAAATGCTTTCCTCAGTGGGCCCTGTTGGAAGTATTGTAGGTTGCTCTCTGATGCCTCGTGCCTTGTATGTTTTTTCTGCAACCCTGGTCACAGGTGCAGGAATGGCTTCACTATTTCCGCTTCAAGAGCACCATCCTAAGAAGCAGTAGGAATGAGCTTCTTTTCTTTATCTTGTTTTTTTTTATTATGTTATGTTAATCACCATACATTACATCATTAGTTTTTGATGTAGTGTATATCTTGTTTTATCTGTATAGGCAGGCCTGCAATCTATCATTTTCCCTTCCTTTTGATAGAAATCTGTCTATTGCAATCTCAGTTTTTCCCTCCCCCCACAGAAGCTCTTACTTCCTTGAGTATGATTAACTGATATTTCTTTATTTTTGTTAATTGTCCCACTGCTGCTTTTCTGATAAGACTGAAACGGTTTTAAACCAGTCCAGTCACTTGTTGATTCCTTGAGCAAATTTAATTCTTAAAGTTATAGTATAATTTGCAAGGCCTTTTAAGGGGCTTTATCAACATTCAGATCTATATTAATTATATATTAATTATATTAATATAACATTATATTAACATAATATATTATATTATTATATTATTTTATATTAATTTCATTGAATTGTCTTTGTATCTAAATCCTAGGACGTGACATATTCCCTACAAAAGATCTTTGTTTTATTTGACCTGTTCCTTGACATACCTCTGTAGCTACAACTGTAATGTGAGTCTCCAAATCCATAATGCAGACCTGATTATGTAGTCAACAAATCTAGAAGAAACCCTTAGACTATATGCAGCAGTATGATTCTGAAGGACCCATGGGAAAGCCACAAGAATCTCAGAGATTACCTCTGACCCATTCATTCCTTGGCCCCAGATACAGTTTAATATAATATACGGACACTAACAACACTGACCACTTATTTCTCATACCAAATCACACACTAGTTCTTGGTAACCAACCTTAATTTAAAATCTGATCCTGTGCCTTCATTGAAAGATACAGGAAAAGCTACAAAAGATTATTGTGTGTTTCAGTGCCTAAAATGTTTATGTTGTGAGTGTTACCCCGTTGGTTGTAAGGTTTTACAGTGACCGAAAGACGTCTTTTCTCTTTAACCAAGTGGCTCTCAAACTAAGCTGCACATAGGGACTATTAGGTGAGGTTTAAGAAAGATAATGCCTGAATCCTATCCCCAAGGATTCAGATATAAACAGTCTGGATGATGGCCTGGACATTGGCAGTTTTAAAAGCTTTTCAGGTAATCCTGAAGGTGAGAATTAACAGCCAAATTTAGAACTATTGCATAACCTAATCATCGCTGTGCTGTCATGGGTCAGATAGAGGTCAGCTGTAGGAACCTGTACAATCCTGGCTTAATAAAGCCCATGCAACTATGCTTGTTAACTAGTGCCTATTAAAGTAGTCATGAATACATGAAAAGAGCCATTGGTCTGTGTACAAAAGTCATAATGATCCACTGGGATAAAAATCCTTTGTTGCCTGTGTGTAATGCATCCTTAAAACCTAAAGAACCAGAAACTTCACCATCTATAAATTATATTATAGACCAAGTTCTAGTCCTTTTGTTTAGGACTCAAGAATTGTGACCAATGCCACAAAACTTTAGACTTTGGAAGTGATGATTATCAGAATTCTTTCTGGCTCTGAATGCTCAGAACCAAATAAGGGATAAACAGATGAGTCAGAAAGAATGAGAGCAA